CCGGGTTTGCCAGCCTCGACTCTCCTCTCCGGGTTTGCCAGCCTCGACTCTCCTCTCCGGGTTTGCCAGCCGCAGGGGTGCTAGGCTGGCGGGCAGCAGCCATTGTCTCACCCCTCCCCCGCGTCTCAGGCAGCCCCGAAGGTGGCCTCGAGTCCTTCTTTCCAGAGGCCTCGGGTTGCCCCTTCAAGCTTCCGTGGAAAGACCCCTGGCCAAGGCCTCCATGCAGTTGGCTCGCCACCCCGGGCCCGCCAGTCCGGGCTTCTTGCCCTCTGCTCTGCACTGGGCACTGATCAGGCCCCCCGACTATTTGATGAATCAGCAGTGGGGGCTGTTTCAATGTGGGGCCCCTCAGCAGTGAGTTGGAGAACAGAAAGGGTCTAGTGGGGGGCGGGACTGGTTTCTGGTGCCCAGAAGTTCGAGGAGGCTGCACCCGGGGCTCAGTGGTCTGGGCAGACCGGGGGCCTGGACACCTGCTGCCCAGGCCTCGCACCTCCCCGCCCAAGGGAGGAAGGCGCCGGGCGCTGTCGCTCCGGAGCCCATTCGGGCGCCGAGCAGGTGAGCCAGCGCACCCCGGCCTGGCCCTCCTCTCGCTCCCTCACCTGTCTGCCTGCGGTTTTAGAGGCAGCGGGAGGCCGGGAGGCTGCCCCTGGGGCCCTGCCCCCGACAGCACCCACCGCGCCCAGAGTCACCAGGCCCTGGCCGGGACATCACCCGCAGGCACACACAGGCCAGCCTTTTGTGTGAGGGGCCCCAGGTACGGGAAGTGGCATCTATTTATGGCCAGCGAGCCGGCCAGCTCAGGAGTAAGTGGACAGTTTAATAACACGCTGCTCTCGCCCTCCCCCACCAGGGCTGAGGCGCTGCGGCGGCGCCCCCGGCTGTGACAGGCTGGCCAGCCCAGGCTGGCACCCGCTGGCTCTGCCCCAGCCCGCCAGGCTGACTGGAGCGGGGGGCGGAGGGGCCTGGGAGCCTGCCAGGCGGCTGGCGGGGGCAGGGCCAGAGGGAGGGTCGGGGAGGCCGCCATGGGCAGCAGCCTGGTGTCCTTGGGATGCTGGTAATGAGGGGGTGCTGGGGGCCAGGGGGCTGGGCATCGGGGGCAGGGCCACTGAGGCCGCTCTCGTGGGCCCCAGGGGAGCGGAGGGAGAGGGCGAGGATGTTCTGTGTGAGCTCAGGAGCGGGGTGCAGAGGAGGCGGACGGCTGGGGCAACCGAAGGCTCAGGTGGGACCACCACGTGGAACCAGGCACCTACCTGGCAGCGGCCAGCACCGCTCTGCCCCAGGCCACCGTCCCCTCCCCTCACATCTCTACCTGTCCCCAGCCCTCCAGAGAGCAGCCTCTCGCTCCTGCTGCAGGTCCCCGACCTCAGAAGACAGGGCTGGGGTCCCCCAGCTCCCCACCGTGTGGTCCACGGCGCAGGCTAGCCAGGCAGGATGCCCACAAGGGGTGGGCGAGGGCGCTCCCCAACAGCGGCCAGGAGCAGGACACACAGATTCTGGAAAGTT